TTTATTAGAAAGAAAATAACAGCTTACATGAAGAAACAAGAGAATAAATAAAGGGAAAGAAAAATAACAGAAATGAAAGAGAGGGGTGAGACAGACTCTACCTCATACAAATCAACCAAAACACTCAAGGACTATATGGCTTTAATGAGCATACTATAACTAGTTAACAGAGTAAAGAAACCCCTTACTACCACCTCCTCCTGTATTCCAAACAAACCAAGAAAATGAAAACAAAAGTTTTTGATAGGTCAGAAATTGACAAGTATAATAGTATTCACATCAAATACCTTCTCAGAATAAGGTGCGAATTGTTGAATTATGGATTGGGTAGGAAGGGAATAAGGGGACAAGAAGAGAATTAGTAGAATATAAAAATAAAAATTTAATGTATTCCACTTGGTAGGTGGGGTGGGAAAAATTTAACTTGATGAGTGGGCTATCCTATAGGGCAAGTTCTCTGCTTTTCCAAGGGGATATCCTCTTGGTGGACAGGATATCCCCTTGGTGAAGTAAAATTCTTTGTCAATGGGATAGAACATATACAATAAATTTTTATATTGGCAATAAAAAGTATTGTTATTAAATGGCAAGTACTAAATACACCCTAATATAAAAACTTTCATATGCCAAAAAATATGCTATAAAAGTGACATGCCGAACAGAGTCTTAATATAATTTTTATTATAATATTATATCAGTTATTAAATTATAAAATATTTTATTAATGGTATAGGGTAACTTGAATCCAAAATTGAAGGAGAAAATTCTAGTTAGTTATAGCAAAACAGCTATTTAAGTATTAACAGGTGTGGCTGACATAAAATTTTTGACTCCTCTCACCAAAACTACATGATTTAAAATCTTAATAGAGGTTTGTAAAAAAATCTACAAGCTTAATAAAAACCACCAGGCTCTTTGCAGTCATATGGCCTTTAGCTCAGTGGTTTTTTCAAATTTTTTAAGTGGTTTTATAGAGGCTCCATTATTGGTTTTATAAGATGTAATAGTGTGGTTCACATTTTGAAGTGCTTGAACCATACACTGCTCTCAGGTGAGCAGATCGTAGTAGGGATAGCCTTGTTGAGGGGGCATGCTATTATAAGTACTTGTGCCTTCACGGCTGCTCGCTACGATTAACCCCATAGCACAAGTATAATAAAACCCTGATAACAAAAGTTTTTGGAGAAAACCTCTGCACAAACTGCCTAAAATCCACCCCTAATCCCACGAACTCGGTTTCTCGATAGAGCAAATACCGTCTCAGTGCTAGCACGTTGCAGGTTGGACAGTACTCATAGAGGAGGCCATTACAGAACTCTTAAGATTTAGATTATTATGCCATTGATCCCAAATATAAGCATGGTAGTCTAACGGTAACACACGGCGACGGGAAGTTGTCGAGAGATGCCACGGGTAGCTGTGGTGCTATGATAGCGGCGATACCGGGGGAGTGTGTAACCCTTCCCGCCACGAGGTGGTTTGGCTGCAAACACCGGAATTTCCTAACTTATCATGGTTCTAAACTTCAAAATAGTCTCGCCGATTGCCTTCTCCCTGCCAAAGAAATCGGAGTGGGGGGGATACCGTAGCCTATCACCGGTTCGTGCCCTATTCCTCGAGTGTTCGTGTTCAAGACTGGGAAGATGTGCTGAGACAGTGTTAGCATGACATAGCATACACTTTAATGCTCATTTCTCGGACTTGGTTTACAAAAGCCTGGGTTATTTTGCGGTTAACCCAATTAACCGTTCATTAGCCTTCTATCGGGTACTTGTACCCCTATCACTGGTTTGCGGGGGGAGTCATCAGTATCTTGGCACTCAGCACGCACTCAGCCCCATACTAAGCCTCACTAACCGCCATTGTTGGTCCTTCTTTCTTTCTCCTTCTTCCCTCTCTTTCCTGCATTTCTTCCAGAATTTCTTCTTCAACCCCCCCCACCTTCCCATCATCAACTTGAACTCCTCCCTATCAACCGCTCCTCTACCCCACAACACAACGATACACCTCCTCCGAACAAAAATCCTATACACTAGTTTATCAAGATGTCCGAAATCAAGCTCCTCAGTTCCGATCAGGCCACAATCACCGTAGGTATGTTTGTCGTCAGCCCCACTCCTGTTGTCCACAGCTTCCGATAGCTTGTCATACCCGGCTAGAGGCTTTACCTCATCCTAGTGATGCCGGAAATACAAATATGCCATGCTAACAATCTTTATTCGCTCTTTTCACAGAGAAATCCGTCGCCGAGCGTTCGATTTTGATCAAGAATATGCTTGAGGATGTTGGTGAAGTCACTGAGGCTATACCGATTCCTAACGTAAGCAATACCTGCAACAAGCCCTGCTGCCGTCACTATTATACAATTCTCCATTAACGCATCACTCTCAGGTCAACGAAAACGTTTTGAAGAAGGTTATCGAGTGGTGCGAGCATCACAAGGGCGACCCCCCTGCCCAAGCCGACGATGATTCCGATAGCCGCAAGAAGTCTTCCGATATCGACGAATGGGATCAAAAGTTCATGCAGGTTGACCAGGAGATGTTGTTCGAAATAATTCTTGTAGGCCCCCTCTTTACCCTCAGCAATGCCTAACATCCTATTACTCTATTTTGGCACTAACGCACATGGCTGTATTCTTGCACTAGGCCGCGAATTATCTCGATATTAAGCCCCTTCTTGATGTTGGTTGTAAGACAGTTGCCAATATGATCAAGGGAAAATCCCCCGAGGAGATTCGTAAAACCTTTAACATCCAGAATGACTTTACACCCGATGAAGAGGAACAAATCAGACGCGAGAACGAATGGGCTGAGGAGTCAGTACCTCGCTCTCAACCTTTGGATATCGACGAGGCTTGCTGACGCTGAATTCTCCTGTAGTCGTTAAACCGCCTCCCTCGAAATCGAACGTTTTCTTCTTTTCCACTTGCCTGCAACGATGTGAGGGGGTCTTCGGACTAACTTTAAAACTGGGCGATGTCTTATGGGCAAAAATCAAAAAAAAAAAGTTTGAAAAAATGAAAGAAGCTCCGATCAGGGCTCCATGTCTTGTGTCCCCGCAGGAGCCTGACTTGTTTCGTTTTTTTTTTCCCTCTTCGTAATGGACAACGAAAAAAATGTAATTTTGTATGCAATCATAACTCTTTCAACCTTTTACTTTCCTTTTTCTTTGCTACTTTCTCAAACACGGTATTGGTGGGATAGGGAGCTGGGGCTGGGCGGGATCGGGCTAGTCTTTGTTTAGCATGGTTTCATGTATCCCAACTTTTCTTCGATGTTACTAAATTCCAACGGCGTTGTGATATTTGTGATGAACCTTCTCGTGTCAGTATTCTCCATTTTATACCTGTGATGGGTGCATCTGAAGTGCTACATAACGATCAGCCGTCATCGGGTTTTACTTGAAGGCTAAGCAAGCAATCTCCAACATCCGCCGCCCATCTGCCATTTGTGATAGACTGGGTGCGCCCTCAGCGTGGCGACACCCTCAGCGAGGCGCGGCATGGCTTGGCTACCTACTCTCGTTGACTGCGGGGATCCTTTGCTGCTAAATACAATATCGCCGCGCCTCGCTGAGGGCTCACCCGGTCTACGCGGCCGGTGGAGTCGCAGGGGAAAGAAACTTGGGCTTAAAACAGTTGAAAACAACAATTGTATGGTTCAAGCACTTCAAAATGTGAACCACATTATTACATCTTATAAAACCAATAATGGAGCCTCTATAAAACCACTTAAAAATTTGAAAAAACCACTGGGCTAAAGGTCATATGACTGCAAACAGCCTGGTGGTTTTTATTAAGGCTCTGTTTGGCATGTCACTTTTATGGCATAAAAGTGACTTTTATAGCATATTTTTTGACATATAAAAGGGTTTATATTAGGGTGTGTTCAGCACTTGTTATCAAATAACAATATTTTTTTATTGCCAATATAAAAATTTATTGTATATTTTTATACTAGGGCTAGGTTTAGAACCATGAGATGGCACTCACAAAATTTGTAAACTTTTAAACTATAATAAAGAGCTTTATTTATTAATTGAGAAAAGTAAATAATTATAAGAATTAATTCTATACTGTTATTTCTATCTAGTTACTTGTAATTTCCTGGCTATAAATAAACTTTAATTATTATTCTCCAATTTTATATTGTGGATTTTGTCACTAAAACTAAGAGTAGAATAAAAATCATAAAGATATATCTATTATAACTGAGAAGCTCAGAAGGTAGAGGCTAATTGGTACATATTTACCAGTTACATGATTGTAGATAAACTTGAACAATTCTGCAGTACAGTAGAAAGACTATAAAAGAAGTTAAAAGCCGTTTCACAGTATGATACAGTTTATCATAGATACCTGCCCTAAGCTGAGTTGTGTGACTGCAATTTCTGTTTTTTTTTTATACACTTGTAGCATGTTTGCAGAATGCATATATATTTTTTTACTGCAGAATTTTTTTATTGACACATATACCATTTTCAACTTTTATTACAATATATTTTTATTGGTACATGCTGAACGGAGCCTAAGCTTGTAGATTTTTTTTACAAACCTCCATTAAGCTTTTAAATCATGTATTTTTGGTGAGAGGAGTCAAAAATGTTATGTCAGCCACACCTGTTAATACTTAAATAACTGTTTTGTTATGACTAACTAGAATTTTCTCCTTCAATTTTGAATTACCCTACCATAGATGAAATATTTTGTAATTTAATAACTGATATAATAATTATTATAATAGAAATTATATTAAGCTGGTCTAACCTGGTTATGTTGGAATACCCTGTACTTTGACCCTAAAATTCTGATTTTGGAAGCTTAGTAAGACAGCCTTAGCATAAAAAAATTGCACAGCTATGTAACATTTTTTTAGCAGCCTCGTCCCAGTTTTGAAGTGCTTGAACCATACCATGGACACCTTCATATCAACGACCGATGCTTCGGTATTATGGCTGATAGGGACCCTTACCGGATGCCTGTGGGGCCATAAACTGCCTGTAAGTTATTATAATTCTTAACCCCGTATGCCACCCTTTCCCCTTGACTCAAAGGCTGAACCAAGCAGAGTAACATGCGGTCCGTTCTAACTTGTCCTTCCTGAATCGGTGTTCGCACAGGGCCAGGCCAACCTACAGATAGCCAACAATGGATATAGTCTAGCCAGGCCAGGCTCTTCCAAAACTTGTAGGTCTTATGGATACCTGGCAGCACCGGGAGTCTTTCAGCATATGTCAAGAGGAGCTGTTACGCCTCAGAAGCCCTACGGTCCAGAAATCTTCGGGTACCGGCAAGCATCCTGAAATATCACCCGCTGGCTCAACCAAACCCGAGAGGCATGAAGAGGAACAGAAAAACATTCCAAAAGATCAAAAGCATCGAGAGCAGAGTGGACAACACGCAACCTTGGAATTGCAGCTTTTTCATAACTTGACTCGAACACTCCGGAAAACATAAAGTTGGGTGACATGCGGTGACAAGAGGTTTCATTTTTCGGCAACCTGGAAGTAGTTCTGGTAATTTCTTTGAGTCTCTACAGTAGTACGTAAAATGCAAATCAAAAGCCCGGACACCAAAGGACAATGGAGCCAATAATCACAAATAAAGCTCGCCACCTCTCAAAAAGTCTTTTAAGAGTTCGAAAAACTAGTCTCTGAGTAATAATACAAGCACTGGTCAAATAAAAACTTCCCTCCGGGAGCCACAAGTACTACACAATCCAGCAGGGAGGATCCATCACGTACTCCCAATGTCCAGTAGCCTACCAGTATTCCCCACACTCACAAGCCATTTGCTCCCTCTCCTCCACCTGTACGCATAGAACAGAAAACGTTCTAGAAAAAAAGACAGCCTCCAACCCCCATGTAAGGGGCGCCCATCCCGGCCATCCGAAAACAAAGTATGGATATCATAAGGAAAAAAAGGAAAGAAAAAACAGCCCCCGATCTCAACCTCCCCTCCCACCATCACCGCAAGATAGCACCCATCTGTCAAAACCATTACCGGTATAATACTTGTGCGTTATCATACTAGGCAAACCAATCCATACCCACGATACAGCACAACCGACGCTCTTGCTCATGCCGGCCCAACATTCAGCGTCTGCAGCGAATTTTCTTGGTAAGGCGTAAATAGATGAGTTTGTGGTGGGTGCTACCTGTAGGATCTGCATTGAAGATTGCGATGTCGTCGGAAGTCGCATGTCGGGTCCAGAGTAGTAGCTCGTTAAACTCCTCCTGCAAATCCCCCTCTGCCCCTCCGTTCGTGATCCGAGTTGCTCGACAATTCATAACCTGCACCATATGTGGAAAGACTATCAGAATGTTCGATTAGCAATTGCACTAACTTAGGCTCTGTTTGGTTGCGCTGGTCACATTCCGTTAGGTGACCGTTTCTGCTGTAAAAATAACCTTCTCTCCATTTTGAAACAGTCATTTGTATGGACAACGGAATGGGATCAGCAAAAACAAACAAGCCCTTAGGAAGATGTAGGGAAACTAATTAACATATTATACTAAGAAGACTTTGCCTCCTCCCAGTGCAGACCATACAACCCGCGGAATGTATCGGGGTAGCTAATCATTCCGTTCTGAAGGAGGCAAATGTCGGTGACGACATCACCCTCGTGCACATTCTTATTTCCTGCTGAAATAACGGACAGATTCCTGATATTGGCGGAGGCCTTGCTCGCCAAAAACATTGCAAAAAATCTCTCTCGAATGCCAATTGCTGTAGCTTTTAGGGGACCGAGAACGGTCAGCTCTCGCTCTTGGTTAATGGACTTTTGCTCGAGATTAATGGACTTTTACTCGAGGGCTTCTGTCCTTTTTATTAGCTGTTCGATATTCATTTCCATTGTGCGGACGGATTTCAGAAATGAGCCACCATCTGGGTTTGCGTATGCTGTCTCGGGGTGACTCCATGAACTAATCTAGTGTTCATTACGGGGCGGGGCAGAGTGGGGTTTGCCCTCTTAGGCCCCGCCATTACACGGGCCCGGGGCGGTATTGTGGCAGACTGGCAGTCCTCCCCATCCCGCCCCCGTCCGGGGCCCCACCCCGGTCTTTACCTGGACGGGGCCCCGCATCTTCCCACCTAAATTTGCCGGGGGCCCATCTGGGGCATGGCTGGGGCGGGGCTCCTGGCGGATGACGGGGCAGGACTAGCCTCCAAAAATGCCCCACCCCGGGCCGGTGAGCGGGCCGGGGCGGGGAATGGAGCTGGGAGCCCATGTTTTTTGGGGCCCCGTAGGCCCCGTAATGAACTCTAAACCAATCCGAACGGGTGCTATCAACGGAATTGCTTGTATTGAAATTTTTTTTGCCATGGTGAGCTCGTTCCTTGAATCATGAACTCCATCGAATTCACTATAAACTAATCCTACTACCATCTAAAGATTGTGACATAGTAAGGAAAAATAAGTTCCAGAAGGGGTATCAGGAGTGTACTTACTTACTGTGTATCGTGTTTACAGTCATAGCCGGGAAGAAAAAGCAAATGATGGTTGGATAACACTGAAGACTGCGAAAAGACCCGGGATTGTGGTTGCAAATGCGTGGGGTTTGATAAAAAGCAATTTAAAGCAATTTCACACGTTATTCATGAGAAAAAATAGGGTTTTGGTGAGGAAGGAAGGGAGGAGAGAGAAGGGTGCGAGGTCCTATTTGATTCATGTGGCAAGCGGAAGCTGACTAAACAACATTGCTGGGGGAACTCTAATGGCGACGGAAGCTTCTGAGCCTGCACAAAGTCCTTCGGCAGGTCCAACAATTTTGTCTAAGAACGTACCAATCCCTTCCTTTGATTTCGTGACTTTGCTCAGCTTTAGTGAGAGCAAGGCTAAGCAAGGCACGATACCAGACTGAGTACTCCTCTGACCACAGTCCGACAAAATTCAAGGTTGTATGGCGCTAGTGATTCTTGGCCAAAAGATAGGACTTTCAGCTGGGAAGGAGAGGTCCTCGAGGGTTGTCCTGGAGAGTACGCAGACAATCTGGTTTCTGTCATGGCCATGCTAATCAGTACTTTAAGGTGGTGTTGGGCTCAGAATGCATGAACTGAGTACCACTCAGCATGACCATGATCGAAGTAAGATCTTCTGTGTACATGTAGTCCTAGTTTCCCCAGTGGGGTAGACGCTCAAGAGCCTACTATCCTCGTTGCTTCCTAATATAACCTCTCAAAAGTATTGTCCCACCTTCTAAAACCCCACCAAAAAGTGCATAAACACGGGCAATTAACTAGCCCATATCTATATATCAGGGTATCCTGAAAAAATACAAAAAAATTATACAAGTTTCTTTTCACAAGGACCACACTATCATGTAATAAAAATAGTAAACCTTTTGTGCTTGGATGAGCTGCACCTGGGTTTACATACCGTAAGAACTCGAATAATTGAACCTCGAGCTAGGACGTCGGTGTTGCCTCTGCTGGTATGGTGCGGTGTTCTTTACTTT